TTCATCAGCATCATTCTAATTATATCTAAAACTAGAGATTCAGCGTGGGCGAAAGAAGGTCGGTCGGTTTAGACGCATTAATAAAAGTACAGTTATATTTAAATTACGACTGTTCTGCGCTTACATGTTTATTGTCTGGTAGAGTATTGAGTGTTGGATATGTTTACTTTCGGTCAAGCACTATATGAAACGGTAAACGTCGTTGGGGAATCCGGGGAAACCTTCACATTATAATAATACCTTACTTAATTTGACGGGTTTCGGACATCAAGTAGGTATCAGGTGCAACATTAGATCTATGCAGTTCCGAAGTGAATTCGAAAATTTAACGATTACAAAACCGAATTTGTTATTGATAAAATTGCCATGTTTGTGTTGTTAGGATTATTAGAAATATTCAATTTAATTCTGCTTAGTAAGGAGAAAATAGTAATTGGGTTACAAGTAGCACATGATGGCCTGTCTCCATTGTTGCTTATGAGTACGTAGGCAACAGATGTTTAATACACATACTGGCAATCGACACCTCTAGTGAACATCTGCAGCAACTTAACAAGTAGACCCCCAAAAAAATACATTTGTCGCAGATAGAATTACGGTGTGTGAGAAAAACAAAATCCCTGATTTTAAGAATAAATATCCGTTAAAATCAAAGCAGGAGCACATACTAAGACGAAACTATTAGTAAAAATCAGCACAAAGCAACAACTTGTCGCTATCTTAAGCGAGCATATAGAAACGTTAAGCACTGAGAAGTACTAGTATTCCCTGTTGAAGATTTGATGAAATGTATTTTCTAAGGAAAGCCTTCACCACCAAACAGCTTTTTTCGGATATTTTTTATAAATTTGAGCATACCCTTTGACGTAGGACGGAGTTGAACACGCACTCGTATATGAACCCAGCTTGTTCAAGTGAGAGGTTTGTCGTTTCCTGCCAATCTGTATTAACTGACCCATCTGGACGTTGTCCAGCTACACCTGCTGTGCGTTCTGCGTGTGAGTGTGATTCGATAGTCTTCAAGTTTGAGATCGAGACTTAACATGTCGCCTATCCTTTTATTATCCTATTATCGGCCTTACACTAGGTCAACAAATTCGCTACGGCAGAATTAATATTATCTCGTGCCATTTATTATCTTGTGCACTTCTTCAACTAAGCGTCGTAGAAGATTGTATGTTTGACATTTTTAATGGTCATCATTAATTCGCTGTTAGTTTTGCTTGTGTGTTTCTTTTGATTATGTTGCAGACGTACAAAAATTGTTTGATGCTTTGAAAGATGCTTCTCAACAAAGAGTATCAGCGCCACCGAAGGTTGCTGATAGTACACTCCGCGAAAAACTATACGAAACAACCGAACGCGTCGACAATGCGTGAGTAATTATTATAAAATAGCAAAATGCAATAATTTGGATCTTATTGTAAATCAATAAATTCAAATATGCAAGATACGTCCTGTTTTAATGGCTATAGGGTCTCCTTTAAAAAGTTCCTTCGTTTCAAAAATAGAAGTAAACTTGAAGCAAGATACTATCTAGCATTTTGATCCACACTTAGGCCAGCTGGCCAACAATATAGAAATAGCGGCATTACATATATTTTCCTTAGGCTATCATTAATAAAAACCTTGTCAAGGTCGCTTTTATAGAAAGTAATTTAAATTAACTGTGCTGGTTTGATTTTTGTCTATCCTCAGAATATCGAAGTTACTTGCAAACCGCAAACACGTTGAAACGGAACTTAAGTTTCGACCTCAGTCTCACACTTAAGCGTTTCGAGTATCAACCGCTAAGTACGAATCAGCTCATTGTCAAGGACAGCATTTGAGATAACTGAATATATATGACTTCGTTGATTCTCAAATTATATCTAATAGTGCCGTTGAAAGAATTTAAATACGTACATCATTATCAGTAGTAGATAGGTGACTCGCTGTTAGACGCTAGAGTTCCACCAAACCGTTCTCATTTTTGTGATTATCTATAATTATAAGCGCTTCAAATATTTGTTTTCAACTACGACTATGTTGGTGTGTCCACAAGCTAACAGGAACTTAACACATAGATTGTTCTCAGCAAGGTGGTAGCGTGTAAACACATGTGTATTTAAATATTTTTCCCAAGTATTATTTAAATAAACATGTGCCGTAAACGTTATTTGACCGATGATTAATTTTAGCTTTGTTTCGGTATATTACGATTCAAACATCCAGTGCGAACATTATGATGCGCAATATTTCACTTTAACCAGTAACCTTATCAGTACTTTGACAGATGTTTGTTTAAAAGCGTGCTTGATTAGTGAGTATCTTTATTCTGTACACTGCAGGAAGTGACACTATAGAGTATTTCAGAAGATTATATACGCAAACAGTAGATCTGATCATTATCTATGGTCTGAATTTATCGACTGTATGGTTGGCTGATTGGGAGTCGCATCCGGGAGAATGTGCAAGCGACGAGCTTAGAAGTAGGAGCGACTCGCCAGAAGTGCCAGAAAGCTTTAAGGATAAGCTGTGCAAACGCCTTTCCCCTTACCGGAGCGGTTCTTTTTATCACTGCTAGTCGATCGGGGAGACGTTTTTGTGTTGAATGAACATTGATAGGTGAGCTAGGGCTCAAGTTCGAATTCAGCGTACTCTGGGCACGTCTGAAACGTTATAGAAACGAAGAAATCAGCTACGCCGAAATAGTTCTAACTATCCAAGACTACACAAACTCCCAAAAGTGCGCCCAGAAAAAGGGAGTGTCGAGTCACGGCAGGGATGCGAGGAAGCACATAGCGCGCTGCGTGCTTCCGTAGATGGGGATTTCAATTGTCAAGACAAAGGGTATGCTCACAGGTCCTGTGAGCAGGACGGTTGTGTTGGTATTACGAAGTTCGGAGGCCGTGGTGCAAATCAGCCAACCCGAATGTCCCTTACCACCGTGAGCTAATTCGTGGCGCATCAACCGATTAGTCTTCGATAGGCTGCGGTGGTACGGATGTTTCAGGGAAGATTTAAGCTAAGATTATAATTGAAGGTTTAAGCTTAACAGGGGTACCGTATGCCGGACCACTTCGAAATTACTGTGATCAGTTCTGTTAAAATAAGGCGGCGATCCAAACCATTCATACGTTATCAGCGGTGTACGTCAGCTGATGGTGTGCCACTTTCCGGACCGCGAAAAATGGGCTAGAACATATGAGTACGCTTGCTGCAGAAAGCCGGGAATATATAGCTCTGCACATTGCGTTGATCAAAAGCGGGTCATTAAAGAGGAAAAAATTGAAATCAATCCTACTGGGTAGAGCGCACAGCTACAATCACGAGTACAGCCTCGACAGCAGGATATGTTGTCATAACTGACATATCCGTTACTAACTTCTACCAGAAAAGTAGTAAAGACCTATAAAGCTCTAATGCATAATGTGGTGAAATAAAGCAGACTAACTTATACTTTCATCACTTCAATAACTGCATTCGTAAGCACCTTTGACCAAAAATAGGTTGCCTAATTTTTGCGCCACTCGATGATCGTGTAAGCCACATGGGAAATTTGAAAGCGATCAATGCAATATCAGGTCTTAGTAGATAACAATTTGTTAAGCAAATGAAGAAACGAGCCTGCGTAAGATATTATGTCAACCGCGCAGACGTTCTGAAACTATTGCAGAAACCAGAGACTGAGTGAAGCTTTTTCCAAAAAGGAATAGGAATCCATCAAGGATGATGTCAATTCTGAAAGGCCTGTAACAATGATTACGGATCACTAACGGGGAGGCTATCATAACTCGTGCCTGCCAATCGCCAGATCATCAGGAACTAGCAAAAGAGATCTCTCATTCGGCATATGTTAGGCCATTCTGAACTACCATTTAGAGATCAGAAGATCTACGACGAAGTTTTTGACCAAACAGTAAAACATTTACTGTGTTTCGCAACATTTCATCATCTAACGATACGCCAGCGTTTGAAAAACGCAATTAAAGCGGTTGAAAAAATATCAGGTTCAATGTTCCTACGATAGAATTGTCGTTAAGTATATATCATTACTGAAACAGGCAAACAGTAAGACGTATCGCAGGTTATGTGACCTTACGTTTAAGTTTTTCAATAACGATGAAACTATTTGAGAAGCCGGGTCAATGACAAAAAGCATCAGACTGTAGGAGCACAGAATATGTAATTATTCTACCGCACCAATAGAGATTGCCGTAGTTGAGCAATACAACAATGGGTAGAAAAATCATTTTATCCTTGAGCGAGGTCAATGAGTAAAAGGTTACGTTTTCACAGTATGCGTTTCTATGTGTATACGAAACGTGGCCTTGCTAAGACCTCAACGTCCGGTACAGTGCTTTATATGGTACTCCGCGAGAAATAAAAGTAATACCGTCGAGGATACAAAAAAGAGGTAAAAGTTCGTTACCTGTTATAGTCAAAGGCTTCTAATGCATGTGAAGGAAGCCAATTAGAATACTTTCCCATATGGGTACGCGTGATTTACACATCCTGCCTAAGATATATATGCTTTATGAATAGGAAACAAATTAGTTTTGAAATCTGTATGTTGGTTTATTAAGTCATTGGAGAATGATCAAGGTAATGATAGTTGTAACGATATACAACGTTTAGTTACTCATTATGCTGCTAAGATCAACGTGTCTATACATTTGTTCAATAGGAATCGTTTTACCTGCAGCATCCACAGACGACCGACCATCATTAAAAACCGAAAACCCTCGATATAAGTGCACGCATTCCCTTTGAGTCTATATTTGCTCTATTCACGTAGAAGCTCGCTGACTGAAACACTACAACGCTCAATAATAATCAGTCTCTTCATTTGCTCTGCTGGCCTTGACGATGCTTTTGTTCCATCACTCAGTGACTTCCTAAATGCCGACAGATATTTGGCTATTCCATACCGTAGCAGTAACAACATGGATCTTTTTCGATCCATTGGTCGTGCAAACAGTGTCATCAGTAATAACGAAAGTAGATATAGAAGACAGCAGGGTTGCCGCTTTTTTACTTATTCTATGTGTAGATTCTTCTTCAGTTGTTCGGATTTCGATTGCGTCCTATTTCAAGCGAAAAATTCCGTGCAAACAATAAACTCATCCGTAACATCATCCGACTGTACCCTTCAACAAGTACCCCAAGGATATACCTACCCGGATGAAGGTAGCGTTGGATAGCTCGAACGTAAGTGCTATTATGCCTGAACATAGTCTGAATATTTCGGGTTACTCGTAATTTCGAAGTACACTGGCAGTTTTTACTCCAATTACATGTTTATCTACATTTACGGCTTTTCGACTTTTTACGTAGTTCATAGAGCGACAGCTGTGCAAACTGAGATTCCGTGTGTTTCCGGTGTTCGGACACCTCGCCAGTATTCCTGCGCAACCTTTAAGCATCTATGAAAATCTGCTAGAAAATAAGCAATTCGTTTGATAATTTAATCGCAATAAGAAGCGTTTGGTATTTTACTCTGGCAAAGTTAAATTTTAACAAACCGGTTGTGAACGTCTGCATTCACTTTAATAAAAAAAAAAGAAGACTTATTATAAATGTGGTTAATTTTAGATTAGAGCACGAAAACTGTCCTGTAATTCGCATTACAGGCCATTTAATAAAAGCCTTTGTAGTTAAACTAAAGAGTCGTTGGTAAAAGAGACCGTAACTGCGTTTATCGCCCGTTAATAGCTGAAGGTGTCTGGCGGTTAGCGCCAAAAGTGAAGTATTTATGTTCCTGTTTGAAGGCCACTACTTCATACCAACGCGTTTTTGTCAAAAATATTTGTATCTTACTTGACGTACCAGGTGTTGTTGCAAGGTTGATCTTCGTAATTCATACTTACCTATTTCCTCAGCTTTCGTCCTAAGTATGCTGAACACAATGCTCTATTGCTTACTCCTTCCTTAGAAGCAAGCAAACATATCTTTATCCGTTAGTATGGCATGTAATGATTTTATCTTAGCGGTGAACCATAGGGAGGTAAAGGTCAATCCTGCTGTTCTTTAGTACTCGAAACACGTACCTGACAGTGATAAAGTCTGCTCAGCCATAATTAGACTCAAGCAGTAAACAGAGAATACGTTTCTAAACCTAATATTTCCTTTATTTAAAGCTTGCAAGTAAGGCGAAAAAATATTTTTGTCTAGCTATCTCTGTTCAACAGGTTAAAAATTCCTAGAAAGTGTTTGTTGAAGTATTTTTGCTAGATCAACTTTCGTTTCGCAGCCGAAGTGGTCAATATTCATAGTTAAGCATATTTTGTGTAATGGTAATCAAAGCTAGCTTTACATAAAGAAAATATTGTTCCCCTATAGAGTAACGAAGAGTGGCGATGCTGCTGTAGTCTGCGGTAGTAGTACTTGGTAGTCAATCTTTCAATGCAAGTAAGACGTTAACTTAAATATGATACGGGACGAAGCTAGTTACGTACTGGAGCCCATGCAAAAACTACTATTGAATGAAAATATTTAACTGAATAACTGTAACTTAAAAACGACATTCTCTTTAGCCGACTCTATGTCGCCGCTCGAGATGATTCTGAGAGGCATACTGTGAAAAACGTGCATCTGAACTTAACGCAACATGCAGTGTATTCAGATTAATTAAGTTAGGAACGATGATGCTTGCACGTTAGCTTCAGTCTATTTCATTTGTTCTATTACGACGAGAAGAACCGCATTCAAAGAAATAGTTCCTTTAACCTAAATAGTAAAACGTATATCTCTCCAGGTGTAATTAACGTCTAGTATCTGTCGATCTGATACGTTCGTAGTGCTGGTAAATGGTTTATGAGGGGGGCGTAGAAACGAGGGTAAACATGCGGAAGAATATGTACAGGTAGCCGATATCTACCTGGGCCAGTTTGTGGTGATTTTTTCGGCCTGTCGAGTGTGACTACGTCGGTTATAAGAAATGTGTATGTAATAGAGACGGATCAGACCGAGAGTTAAGAGCACACTTTTAAAGTATAAGGAGCTTCGTATTCGAATAGGCAACGGGCCTCTCTTTCACGGGAGATCATGCATGCGGAGGCTCATAAAGATGCCAGCGACATCAAAGAGGTATGGTGTCTATTAATATTATTTTAATAGAAATAATAATTATTATTATCGCAGTGATTATAAGGTTACTTCACACAAATAGTGTACGCGCGTGTAGCAAGCTTTAATAATAACTTCCTTTGGTTCAGCATCTACATTTGTTTTGATTATAATGTAACGGAAGTAAGTTTATATATGTTAACAGTACATTGATAAGTCTACTGCGGTGGTACTTAAGATTTCACGGATCCAAAGAGTTCAATTTTGCTACCTAGCTTTGCATAAAACTCTCTAGGAATCGGACTCAATGTACATACTATAGTTTGTCAAAGCTGCGAGCATTTTTTAATTAGAGTTTTCCTACGGAATTTTCTTAATACAGTAATGTACTGCCTAAATTTCAAATGCTAGATTAAATGTACAGAGTAATTCAGTTATTTATATCTTAACGGACGATCATTGCAGTCAACGTTTATGCCGTATAAATTTATTATATTATATGAGAAAGCAGTAAAGGGCTGATACGTACAAAAATTGTACAGCAAGGCTCATCACAGGCTAGCTTGACGTACATATATATATATACAGAGAGTATGCAGTATTTGCACGTATATATATATATATATATATATATATATATATATATAAATAAGGTAAACTGAAATTAGTAAATGAAAGTTGCTTTTCCTTTTAAACCAAAATTGCTTCTTGCCTCGGAAGAACCGCCGGAAAGACTCGAGCTTCGTTAATATCACACATAAGCGTATCATCATGTCCTTCATATGTCATTAATATAAAGTCCTACGTGTAATCATAAACTACATTGAAACGTGTTGCGATAAGGCTTTTTACAAACAGAATTTTATGATTGCTTGGTACACCTTATAGAATGTATCGCTTCAGAATCAGTTGGGGAAGATCGATGAAGAGGAAGGGATGATCTCTCGAGGCAACAAGGTTCACAAGGATGATCTGCTCTACGGCCTTGAAGATTCGCCACCGTGGTATCTTTCCGCTCTGCTTGGATTTCAGCAGGTGACAGGCAGGGACGGATTCGAACGGATTGGAAAAGTCCAATCGAAAGTGCACAGTTTCTTTATAAAATTACCTTTTATGTCTTAAAAGGAATATTTCTACTAGCGCTGCTGGTACTACTATTAACGCCTTACGAATTACGTTTATTACTTTATTATCGTTAGTTAGTATTTTTGTGAAAGCACTATGTATATGTGGTCATTGTTTTATGTTTTGTGCATAGTACTTAATTGCATCGTCGGGATCATTGAGTTATCCGTTTATGTTGGCACCTGCAATATGTATGAGAGATTCAGATCCAGCAAGAGGCTACCTCATATCAACTATCTTCTTCATCTCTGGCATTACTACAATTTTTCAGACAACCTTCGGTATCAGGTACAGACGATCAACATTATTCTTTTATGTCCATATATTTCGAACCCTTCAACAAGTCCCTTCGAAACATCACTCGCGGAAAAGTTTGGAAAAATTTATGCATAACCTCTTTGAGCATCATCGAATTACGTAACTCGTATAATATAACACGTTGTACTCATAGAAGAGATAGTATCGTTGGCATAACGCCTAAACCGCATTGTAAGATTATATTAAAAGTATTTAGCATAGTATAATGAATTCTAGTGATTGCTGAAACGTACGTATTTTCAGACTGCCAATTGTGCAGGGCTGTTCGGTAACGTTCCTAGTGCCCATCGTCGCAATCATGTCTCTGCCTGAGTGGAAATGCCCCACTGAGGAACAAATAATTGCCGCTCGTTTAAACAACTCTACCGGACCTGTAACCGATGACGAATGGTCACTTCTATGGCAAACACGAATTCGAGAAGTGCGTTATATGATAGTGTATCTGACTTGAGCTACTAAATAGAATCACTCATTTCCAGCCAGTACCCATGTTTCACTCTAGTGATTTTCCGAGAAGATGGTAATCACTTATTAAATATTCATTATGGGGCTAAGTCTATATGTGTTATTGGTAAAACAATAACAAATTAAACGTACAATTTTCTTGATTATGGCTTTAAGTTTTCTAAAGTTAATTAGACACTTACCGTTGAAAAAACGCTATATGTCAGATTATTCTTGTTGATCAATAATAGAATTGAATACGCAGTCGTATTTTTTTTTGCCTTGCAGATCAGTGGTGCAATTATGATTGCATCAGTTTTTGAGGTACTGCTCGGGGCTACGGGCATAGTGGGTTCGATTTTAAAATGGGTTACACCGCTGGGAATCGCGCCGACAATCGCGCTTATTGGTCTGTTTCTTTTTGAAGAGGCCGCAACGCTCTGCTCGAAGAACTGGGCTGTTTCTATAATGTACGTACGTTCTTAACAACCAATGAAATGTGTGTATACTATTGTTTTTATGATGCATTTAGAACAACCTCGATGCTTATATGTGTGTTACAGTGAGAGAGGTAGAATGGTAGCGATATATATAGGGCTGCGAAGTTCGCTTCTCTTCGAACTTCTTATCATCGTTTGTCCATATCGCAAAACTTTGCTTATGTTCAGGCTTTGAACGAAGTGTACAGTTTATTTCTACATTGCATTTCACTGGTTTTCCTAAAATCAAGTTTCTCTCTGATTTCAATTGATTTTAACTAATATTCTTTATTACCATGTTTTCCTTAAGAGTTGTTTTTTTCATGAAATCTTAAAACTCGCACTTAAATAAGTTAGATTTTTTTAAGCCCTAAGCTCTAGATAAAACTGGGCGGTACGGCTAAAACAGTAACGATAAAATTTTTGAAAACAGAAAAGAGCGCTTGGCTATTTGGCAATAAAGCGTTGATAAGCATGCTGTAAATAAATACCAAATAACGTGATAGAGCCTAGATACATGGTGCCAACGTAACGGCTTGGTGTCCAAACCTGCGACTGGAAAAAACTCGAAATAGCTGCGTCAAGTTCCGTTACCTTATCTAAGGGCTTCTACAACTTATATAAATAAATTACATATACGATATTTGGAGTAATTTGAAACATTTTCGTGAGGATCGTTTTTAATAGTGGGTATGCATTAACCCGCTATTACCGAACAAGTGCCTCCGAACAAATGCAGTTCATTTGCGAGAAAAAAAACATAAGGTCATCATGAGAGAAACAAAGAGCTAGTGTCCAGAATATAAGCGAAGACCCTTGCCCCTAATTCTATATATAACATAAACGTTCTTGATCGCTAGAAACCAGATTTACATTGACAACCTTCAACCCGCTTTTGAAAGAGCTTCTATTTAACAAAACTAAAAATTCATAATTGGGATCTAAATAAATGGATTAAAATGACAATCGTCTTCAAAGTCGGCACAAATTAACTGTTTTCGGTAGGTTGTATAGATAAACCTAACAGTTTTTTAGTACCTTTGTCATTTAAACCTTTCCTTTTTTAAGCCTTAGAAGCAGCGTATGAATAGCTGACATATATATAAGATTAGGGTGTTCTGTATGAAATGTTAGATGGTATTTTCGGTATAGTTATTTTCTATATCTCTTATTATTTGTCACTTTTTTTGGATAGTGACATTTTGCTGCTACGGCGAGGCGTTGAGGTACTAGAGTTTGCCCAGATAGAGAGCCTTAAAAAGCAGTTTTGAGATGTTCAGGCTTAATTTTTGTGCAAAAATCTCCGAGATTTTGAAGTGATATGCGAAAGCTATGCCTATAGTAGGTCATAAAAACTACGGTGCCCTTTTGCCGATATTAGGTCGACACTTGTTGTGCGATATCTTGATTGCCTAATGTTTAGTTCGCCCGTCCTATCCAGTTATTAAGTTTACATTTGGGCCTTAACTTACGAAGCAAGGCTCATGAAGCTTTACCGAATAACCGAACTAATAAAAAAAAGGCTGTACTATATTAGTAGAACACCACGAGCCATTGCAGCTGTACATTTGCTTGAAGCATTACTACATCCCTTCAGTTATACCTACTTATTAATGCGGTTGTCTGTGATTATTATAGAATGGACATTTCAGTCAGAATTCACAATTATACAGAACAATGAATCATTCTTATAACTTTAAAGCAAAGAAATAACCGTCTGCATAGAACCTAACCGAAATCATTCCGCATTTCAATTTTTTTGCCTTATTACTTTGAGCAAAGTGAACAAGTGTGGCATTTTTATATACACTAACTCGGAGTTAAGATGAGGGCGCTTCGATATGGATCGATTTTCGTAAATATCAACACCTCGTTATGCACCTTCGCAGATGCCCTCATGAGACGTACCTCGGAATTTAAAATTCCCGTACTGGAATTCTCAAAACCAATGGCTCTAAATGGGCACTTTTCTTCTTCTAGAGATTTTACGCAATGGCAAGTCAATACCGAGCTGTACTTCCAATAGAGGCCTTACATCCGTAAACTACTTGAAATCGCCGACGCTTAACGCGTCATTTCATTCCAGTTGCTAAAAGCCTGAGTGATCGTACCCGAGTCGACGGTCTCAAACTTCAAAGATTACAAAATGCGCCTCGAACACAGCACAGTGCCGTAAAACGTCGCACCATTATAAACTATGAAATTTAGTTTCTAACGTCACAGACTGAACTATACGATGGCACATTTTAGCTGAACATTTTTTTATACGTTTTTCTCTGGCTGTATCTAAACAAAAACATAAATTTCAACGAAGTTTTTGCATGTGCTGGAAACATCCTTCCTGGCGGTCCATAATTATTATATAAAAATATAGCTACTGCCTACCATAATAGTAGCTCAGATAGAAAATACTAACTACTCATTTTTAAAATACTTATCTCTTCAATCTGCAGGTAGGTTTATTAGTAACCGTGCGTCAAACGATATGTGTGTAAACTCGGCAAGATGTCGCTCAAACACACTATATACAAAAAAAATTCAACGGACTTAAATTTTCACTTTATTTCATCAACGTCTTTTTTTTAATATTTCCGAAATTGCCTAAAAGTTGGAAATAATATAGCACGTTGTTTTGGCACGAAAATGAAATTCTCCAGTTTGTCAGAGGTTTGTCTAGCAAAACAAATAAGACAGTAGAGGATCTTCGTTCAACCTCTAGAAAACAGTGCTCTGTTATAATGGGTTTATTGCTTAATTGCAGCGAATTGGTTATTTTTGACGATTTTTTCTTGAGCGAACTTCTACTAAGATAACAAGCCTTCTCTTCTGCTCGAAATCAAGGTCTCCGTTATGGTCGGCTTTCATAAAATTTTTGAGAATTTCTTTTATAAGGCAAACTGGAAGATTCTCATCAATGTTTGAATTAAAAGAACTCGAAAATATGACCTATATATGGATTTTTAGGAGAAGAACATAGTATTTTAAGAACTTTTTGCGTCTTTTGTCCCTTCTAAACCTTTTGGTAAATTTGAGCCCTTTCATCTTTGAATTTTTTAATTTAATATAGTCTATTGGAAGTATTGTGTGTTTAACGTACCGTATTTGACCGATATTTTAATAAATTTCTGCTTAACCTATGGTTACTACTAAAATGTTGTTTGCGGATTAAATAGGGAGTATATAGAAAATGACTTTTGAACTATTGGATTTTTGATCGCTGTGAATGATCGTTATACTAAATAAATACGGCTGACCCTTATAGGACATGCAGAAGATTTTTTTGAGCTACATAAGGTATATATCGGCAACCATTTAATTGCTTACCGATAGCGTATATTGATTTAATCATCATTGAGCTATATATATATTTATATATATATATATATATATATATATATATATATATATATATATATATATAGACACAACACAGGTGCAAAAAAAATTGCGAAACGAAATTGATTTTATTGTAATTAATCGTACAGGGCTATCGTGTTGATGACCCTGTTCTCACAGTACCTGACGAACGTAGAATGCCTGCTACCGTCTGTTAATAAAAATGGACTTACAATGAAACGCGTGGCCATCTTTAAAATATTTCCGGTGAGTCTCTATTGCAATACATTATAACAATTAGCCCTAACAAAAGGTTTTACATAATTAAATGAACATTTAATGTTAAACTCAGGCATTGCCCATCGTTTCGAAAATGCGCATTGCACGCTAAGATAGATTGATTTCATTATATAGTACAATCCTCAACTGTAATATAAGCAATAATGGAATACGTGGGAATATCAGTTAATACGAAAGCACTCAACGACGGCCTTTTAGGCTATTTGTGTAACAATCTGTCCTAGGTCCCTCCAACAACTTGTTCCGCCTGACCGCTCAGTGTGCCGCTTGAACCCTGCTAAATACTATTGACCGCAATTAGTGTGTACATTATAAGTAACCACAATAAGCCCCAACTTTTATAAACTTAATCAACGCAATTAGTCGACAGGAAGCGTATCAGAATCCTAGATTATATTTTGTTTGTGACATTCTAACTTGCAAGCTGAATTCGGACCACCTATAATATTTCAGCCAAACTTATCCTGAATGCTACCTTTTTCTTCCTGCTTGTTGGTATTCAAATATCTGTTTAAAAATGAATAATTTTATGGGAAAAAATCCTCTAAAAAATCAAACTCTATTAGTGATTCATTGAATTGTGTCGCATTATATTTCTACATTTTATACTCTGTTCGCTTTTGCTATCGATATTTTTTGAGATAATAACTTCAGATCCCAAGCTAGATTTCACGACAATTTGACTTACCTGATTTTTAATATTAAAGTATGTTAGAAAAAGTATGTGCTCTGAAGCCAGTCTTTTCTTCATAGAATTGAACCCCATCGCGCATTAAGCAATTTTACCCATGATGGGACTTGAGCCTTTACAGAAGAAATTCACTAACGTGGATTAATGAGTCTTCAACTAGAGCTCGTACCTATATTTTTCCTTTTTTAGATATTAATGGCTTTAGCCGTATCCTGGGCAATCTGTGCGATTTTTACCTTGACTGATTACTTCGGACCCACGAATTTGGCCCGCACCGATCTCCGCGTAAACATTATCAGAGACAGCGCTTGGATACGACTGCCTTATCCTGGTTGGTACTCAACTGCAGGGGAACGACATATTGTCGTTATAAAATTATTTCGTCGGACGTTATAGCTATAGTATTATGATGCCGATGTATGTGCTGTGCTCTATATATTGCCGAACGTCTACATGCGCTAGGGGCAGTGAAACAATATAATTGTCAAGACAGATCAAGAACGTCGAGAATAAGCTGTTTCCATTTATAGTGACAATATTTCCTATTATGTAGCCCAATTCGGAGGTCCTACTTTCACAGTGGGGGCTGTAATTGGAATGTTATCAGCCATCCTAGGGTCTATCGTTGAGTCAATTGGTAAGTGATCGTTTAAGAACCTAAAGATATTTAATTTTATATCTTTATCATTGCGTATATATGCATATATGTGCAGCTAATTACTCTAGAGCCAGATGAGCGGTACGAGAGATGATCTGATTCATTTGTGAACCACACTACGGTTTATCAATGCTAAAAAAAAATCTATTATTCTGCTGTTATTGTGAGCACTCATCTGCTAGTTCAACGTATGATATCATTCAATTCACTGAATCATTTTCAATATATGGATTACCATTGTTCCTTTTTTCATATGCCAGGCGACTACCTGGCCTGCGCTTCCCTGGCCCGAGCTCCACCGCCCCCTAAGCATGCCATAAATCGCGGCATCATGTCCGAAGGCGTGGGTTGTATTTTAGCTGGAGTGTTCGGGGCTGGCTGTGGACTCACCTCGTATTCTGGAAATATCTCAATTATTGCATTAACTAAAGTGCGTTAATTTTTATTTTTTTTTTTTTTGCTTATGTTTATACGAGTGTAGCATTAGGCTTAATCACAAGTGTCTAGGAAACAAGGCTGATTAGCTGCATCCAAGGAGATTCAAGGAGTGATCAAATTATATTTTCAGGTGCGCAAGCAGCAATAACCTCAGTGGACATTTTCAAAAATATCCTTCAAAGCACCGCCTCTCAAGATTTCTCTAACAGTGCTTTATTATATTATAAATAATGCTTTTCTATTAAGCTTCAACCAGATGTCTATTAGATCGTTAGTTAAAGATAACTAGTCAAAAAATTGAGATTTGAGTCGGCAATTTTTTATTTCTAGGATAATTTTCTGGCTCCGGTATGGGCTGTCTTCACATAAATAGTTGTATCTATCGTTCGCCCCTTGTTTATGCTATAGGTCGCGTGTCGTTCAGTTATCAATTGGGCAGCTGTCTACATGATTATGTTCGGCATCGTTGGGAAAGTGGGAGCAACATTTGCTACTATTCCCGACCCAGTTATCGGTATGTATCGATATGTAAGCAACATTGGACACATCTCAGAAGCGAGTTGTACAGAAGCTATTTTTTACATAAAAAATAAAGAAAAAGCACTATCGTTCACTATTTTAATATCGTTTGACGCACAAAAGAAGACGTATGCCTTGATTATAGACTCTGTCCGTCACCATCAAGTGCAAACGCCTGCTTTTTCCCCGATAACTTCCTCTTCTGGAGAGTGAACCTGGTAGTAATTCTGCTGTCGTCATTGTGATCAATCTCTCAGTCAGTGAGCATACGGATCAGAAATTATAGCAAACAAAGTGAATCTACTGCTTGCGTCGACGAATCCACCATCATGCGGAGGATGTAGCAGCCGCCACGTCCAAATGAGTCAGCATTCTCTATTAATATTGCTTATAAACGACTTGTCTTCAATTAACTTGTTCTTCCTTTCTTGAAAAACGAAAACTTACTCTCGTCAGGGTTAAGCTTGTACGGGCACATACCGATACATAATGCATATATATACACATTAGGGAGGCACATAAAAGAAAACAGTTTTTCTTCGTATATGGGAATTCGGGACAAGCCAGACACCGTCATTATTAACAGAATCTCAACTCCATAGATTTCCTGACGAACAAACAAAAAACGTTTGGCATGGCTGGCATTGTCTCTGGATGGCTAGTACGCTGCCTATTCATAATAATAATAATAATAATGAGCGTAAACACATAGCATAGACGTCGGTGCACGAATTGCACGTCGGACCATTTCCCAGTGATCAGTAAAGCTGTCCTCGCCTTATAGTCCAGACCCGAAAAACGAAAAAAAAAAAAAGATGCTGTTCTAAACGCTGTTGTGTATTGTTACTCATGAAATAGTGTGACGTATGTTGCTGGTTAGAAATGTTTTCAAAATGTCTCGGATAACCTTTTCGATCATATATATATCCTTTCATTGATAATTGGGGCGATAATTGTTGTTTATTTTTTCTTTGCTTATGCCCGCTTACGACCCGCTGCCTACTATACAGGCGGTGTATTTGTGGTAATGTTTTCATTGATCGCTGGAGTTGGTATTTCTTCCGCCCGGAAAGTAGATTTGACATCTTCTCGGAACCTGTTTATTCTCGGAGTGTCACTTTTTGGCGGAATTATGGTAGCTCACTGGGCGCGAAAACATTCGGACGCAATAAAAACCGGTACGAGACACGTCAGACTTCAGACTGATTCTCTAGTATGTAAATTCCATTTTAGTTTAGTGTTTGTTAGCCATATCCTATAGGTGCAATCAGAAATTAATCCAAATGGGCCTGAGGCCGACAGGTACATAATTTTATGACCCTGACAATTTCTCACTGTCAAATTATTATTAAAAAACGAGTCAAAAATAAATGGAATACATTATCGATCTGACCGCAGGTAATGAAATGCTTGACCAAACAATTACTATCCTGTTTTCCACGTCGATGTTTGTAGGGGGTAAGTGTGTTGCAGTACACAAATCGGTCATTTAATTAACAATTCATAAAATTGTGTCGTTATCAGTATAAACAAAGTGACAATACAATATATACAAGTATTATCTAGATTGGAAAGCGATACGTGCGAGTAACACGAGATTGAAACAGATGGTCCGGCTACTGTTATTCAATCTACATACGCAATCAATATACTAAACGAGGGATATGAAGAACTAATTATTATCTGTAGACTAACTAACGGGGCCTGCGAGAAACCTATTTGCGCAAAGGCCAAAACATTGAGTCCTTTTACATTCGGGATGAAATCGCTTCTCAGACCCTAAGTTACCTGCCGCGCTAATCAGAAGCTGTGTATGTTGAGTACATTTGTAAATTATTAAGAATAACGGTCTCGAGAAATGGTACGATGTATTTTGCATTTGCTTTTTTTAAACTGTACTTTTTTGTGACTATTAATGTTAACAACAGAAAGGTCCTCATTAGCGGAGTCTATAGAATTTCTCTATATTTGCAGAAAAGTTCAATTTTTCGACGAATTCACGACCCTTCTGTCTTCGTTAGCCTGTGTTGCTGCTAAACAAGACGGATGAACAGTCAAGAGCCGATCTAGAAACTTGAAAGAATGGAAGTTGTTTAAAAGTAATCTCAAGTTACGGGTATACAACGAGCACTTTCACATGAATTTGATGTAGTTAACGTGCAAATACTCCAAGAGTTATAGTTCCCTCAACACTTAACGTATGATAATCACTAGAACAAGGATTTTGTCCAATACGTTATACTGAATCTACTGGCTTCAGCTGCGTTTTTACTAATTTATAGAGTGTAAAATTTCACGTTATATGTCCGCCTATAATGTTATAAAAACCCCTACGTAAGCAGTGTGTGGAGGTGAATATTGTTCTGAAATCTTCGCATATCCTAACGTTCGTAATCAGACAGAGAGGGTCTGAGCTACGATTCGAAAAGAGAAAGTTACGCTCGCGGAATGTTAGAACTTTCCAAGTCACTCGCACGAAACCGCACGAAGCCAATAATACAATAGGAACTGGGGCAAGAAACGACTTTTCCCCTACGGGGCTTTTATATTGCCGACTTTCGAATAGGTGTGACGTATCGTTGGGCCGCCAACTGGTTTCATCATGTCATTGTTTTTCCCAGAAACTTTGAATAAAGCAGGCCCTTCATGTCTTGCCAAATCCTCCGCGATGTCGATGTGAACAGTTGGGCAAATTAAGCCATTCTTCTCGTGCGGAAAATCGGCACACAATGCACTGTCTTCCCACCTGAAAGGTCTTCTTCAGTGGACGCGTGCGTCGCGCTAACAGTGCATCATGGTTTGCTTTATGCGGTCGTCTGAAGCGCCGTTTGAGATAGAAAGCAATAATGGATACATAGCTTTTCTCAGAGAAAATCACAACTAAGGAACCTAGGCTAAATGCGGATAGAACATAAAAATAAGGAGCATGCCAACTGGGCTAAGTGAGACTTTCTAAGATTTACATTACAACGCTACGTATCTCTGTTTTAAGTTAAGACAATTTGCAGAGTTTCACTAATTATTGATTTAATTAGCAAAGTTCATATATGCTAGTTTTTAATGGGTTTATTACTTGGCTTACTACAGTTGTTACTGAATTCACTGACAATCCAGGTAGCCTCGGCATCTTCTTGGACAACACTATTCCGGGAACTTTAGCAGAACGCGGATTGATTGAAGATCATTATCATCATCAAAAGGAGCCAAATCTCGCCTGTTACGGAATGCCGTTCCTAGGGCAACATTTCGAAAGACTGCCGTTCCTGCCTTTCAGTCCCTCATACACAAAGAATCCTATTCCAGGACTCATTCGAAGTATCTCACGACAGAGCAGACGCTCTAACTGCGGTGCCACTCAGTCGCCAAAAGTCGCAGGCCCGAACGGGTTAAGCGGCAAAGAAATGGGTGAAGGTCAACTGTGAAATTAAACAAGATGAATATTAACAGGTGCGAAGCGACAAAATTATAAATGTATTTACCAAATATATGATTTTGCAAAGAGCGGTTGAATACAATTTGAAAACAACAACAAAAGCGGCTTTCCGTGTACGATGAACTTGGTGCGCACCTGTGTGCTGTATTCATTCTATCCATAGAAGAGGAGCAGAACGCTTCTTCAGTTTAGACAAGCTTGTAACACAGAATAATTTTCTATACTCAAGATACATTTTGGAGTTCTGTGTTATTAGCAGAATTTCAAACAGCAAAGATAAGAGCTGGGGTAATTGTATGCTAGATTCATTCTGATAGTGGCGGCAACGGGCAACGAAGGTCTCTGCCGAGAACTGGACAGGCTTAAGTTTCTTTCAACAATCAATCCAATATTGGCTTTGATTTTCATAAATCGGGGCTTGAATCAATATCACCTCTATTCTAAATACGATCAATTGTCATTTGCATAAAAACAGTAGATAGAATCTGCCTATAGGAAGGTTCTATCATTTGATATAGCGAGCTACGAGCACATATATAAATTATTGTCTAAAAATAAGGCGCATATTAGGCAAATATTCGTTGTATATAGAAGTTCTGTTTGTACTATGTGTGTTTGTTTATTCCAATTCATTTCAAATCTGGTTTTTATGCCATTTGCTCTAATATTCCTATCAAGAAAACCAATAGAATGAAGAACAAATAAATCTGTAGTAGTATAAAAAAAAAAACACACGCGTGCACGAACTTTGTTCGATCGGAGAACCGTTTGATTACCCGTATAGATGCCCTGCTAACGTAAGTTCTTTCGCGTCTAGCCTGTACAGAACGATTGCATGTATATAAATGATTTGCGATCCATGTGCGGCTCGAGGGACGTCACCATATATATATATATATATATATATAAACAGTACAGGGACACATTTATACGAAATGAAATATCTGTGTTTTAACTAAACGAAAGAAGCCAATATCATAAGCAAGTGCTAACTATACGCATCTGTTACTCCATGTTATTATAATTGTTCTCTGGGCGCATAGGTAGAGACTTCGTAAAGAAAAATGGCAACGAAAGAAAATTTCAAAAAAAAATAGTGAGATAGATGAGTGAATGGATGGACGATAGCACCAAACAACCGTTGTTGCCGCCATCGCAGTGGTCGCACGATAGGGAAGACCAATATAGTCTAACAGGCAGCTTTTTTCGCCTGTGTTTCTTTTTCTTCGGGAAGCTATGCGTACTCGATTTTTGTGCCATGTGTCGGGCAACGTCAGACTAAATAACAACGTAATTTGCATAAGCGAAACGGTCCAGCGGCGGTTGGACTTTATCTAAACGGCGAAAACATTATTTGAGATATGCATGCATGCATTAGCGAGTACTCCCCATAGAAGCGAGTCTCAAAAACTTCAAAGAAGATATGGTGGCGAAAAAACCGATGGCTGACTAGTTGTGGCAGGGCCGGATAACAGGCGAGACCGACTACCGGCAGCCGCTTGATAGCCGTAGCGTCGCACTCTCCAACGAATAACGTCAGCCATCGCGAAGAAATCGATGCGAGAGGCTCGGTTTTAATTCCTCTTTCGACGCTGTTCCGAAGAAGGACTTCAATTGAAAGATTTTTTTCATTTGCTAATAATTCTCATTGAAAAACTCGAGATGTCACTATTAAAATGAGTAGAAAATTGTTAGTATTATTACGAACTGTATATGCGTAAATATGATTATAATAACTTTCAATTCAGTGAATTAGAAGAAAGACCAATAAGCGTTTATGTAATACAAAAATAGCGACACAATCGCCTCAAAATGCTTTTTTTTTTTTTTTTTTTTTGGATGGGGTTTAACTCACTTTATAAATGTGCGAGCAAACATTTGGCGATGTGTACCATGTACCTTGTGTGGAGATCGATCCTTTCAACATAAATGATTTCATTTTACACACAAGGAATAGTTGTGTCATGCTAACGCGGGCTTCCCTGGATGACATTCTTAAAAACTAAAAAAAGATCGTCAATACAAACGTCGTTGTGTGAACCATACGTATATGAGGCAGAAAAGTGGCCAGTACCTTTTGCCAACAGATTTTATTGCGTGCTTTGTTGTGGGATAGCCTAATCATTATGGATCAATAAATTCATTTTTACACAAATGTAGATTTTTCTCATAAACGAAATAAAGTAACCTCTATTTTCTTGTTATGGTAGACTCAAAAGACGTACCCGTATATTACCACTGTGAACTAGATTGTCCAAAAGATGTGAACATTCCCTGGAGCTAGCTGCAGTCTAGCGGTTATTTTAGAGAAAAAATAATGACAAACATTTTAGTTTTGTCAGAGCTACGTTTTGTACTCAACAAGTTGCGTCTACTTTCCTCACACGTCACATGGATCACGTACCCAGACGGTGAGGAAACGACGTTAACAGCGAGTATTGGCTGCTGATCGCAAACAGATCCGTAGCTAGGTTTTTACGGTAGACACCGCTAAACCGGTAACTACTAACAATGTGACACTAAGTTGATTTGCTCAAGTAGCAATTGGTATTTAATGGAGCTACACGTTCT